TCAAGATTCAACAACCATATTATTTGATTCATAGATTCATCCAGACTTAGATTTGTTGATCAAGCTATAAACATTCTACATACAACCACATATCAAAACACAAGAGATCTTTGATCAAACATCAAACCTACCTTCGCCGATTAGCTTTCAAAGTTGCCGGAGTTTTGGGAAGAGGTGCTTGGAGTTCTTGGAGGTCCACAAAAGATAAACGATACCAGGGATCGAAAGCTGGTGTGAGGAGTACGCAACCCTAGAAGGCCAAGATGATTACATAAAGAAGGTCAAAGGGGCCTAAGGGTTAGTCGGATTTGGACCATATTGTACATCTCATCGTTTATAATGGATTGTTGACACATAAAATGCACGGAATTTTTGATCACTTGCAAAGAATTTTCTCCGTGATCATGTCGATATTATTTATTGCTTTCGATTTACAAAATGTGGTATTCAAATTTAGGATAAATTGACGTGGTTGACCAAATCATCTAGAAATAATTAAAAAACGACTTGTTACTTTTAATTGTTTAATTCCGCATTGGGGGTCTAAATATTCAGTAAATTTAAACTTTCAAGACAAAAAAGGAGAGCTATTGGAAGAAAATCACAAGTTTTACAGGTGAAATTCAAATTTTGAAAAGTCTGGAAACTAATTTGTATACTTTCGGAACTCAAGATGAACCAATTTCGAACGATTATGAAGTTTTGAGGATCAATCGAGAAGATGTTGAAAGTCACGACATGAAAATTGATGTTTATGAAGAAAAATGATCAAAGTTGAACAAAAACTTGAAAAAATAACTAAGACTCCACGAAAAAGATGGGGATATACTTGAATGAATATGGAAGGGGAAAAATAAGCCCTTATAATCGCACACTATAATGGTTGAGTATTTCCTTTTGTCACGGATTGGAACAAGAAATGAATCCACTTTTTGACTAATTGCCAGATTTTCCTTAATAACAAAAAAAAAAAAAAAAGGTGGTCATAGTTTGGCAAATATGTAAAGATATACAGAAGATATTAGTAGTATTATTTTTTGTGTGAATTATCGAAAGTATGATTGGATTTTAGGGTTGTCTAGTGCAACCACTAAAATTTTGTATGACCTCCATTTTAAAAATTTATTTTTAATCACACAATTTTTATTAATTTTTCAACAATTCTTTCATCAATTGTTATCAAAATCAACAAAAAATAAATTTTAGATCAAACAGGATTAAATGGAAAAAGGAAAGCAAAGGATTTCAATGGAGGTAATTATATCACCACCACAAATTTTACTTACTGCACCATGTTATAATTATACTACAATTAAAATATTTTTTTTCAATAAATACACCCCAACAAATTTACATTTATAGTGATAGTCCAGTAAAAATTAAAAAGGATAATTCATTATCTTCCTTTGGAGCGATTATTATTTTCTTAAAATTAAAGCGAACGCATTTCACTTTCTTCTTCACTTCATTCTGTTGGCCAGCTCCTTTTTTTGATCAATTTCTTGCTTTTTTAATTTTTTTTTATCATTCAGGTTTTTGACGTTCTCGTTGGTTGTAATAATTTGTTCACCTTGTTCCTTAGTTTCAGTATTGTAAGACCAGGAACACATAATATTAATGTTAAGAAGCAACAATAAAACGATCTCTCAAAAAATAAAGATTGCAGAAATTAAAGTTAACACAATCGATTTATTGGAGCCTAAGCCTTGGAGGTTCGGTCACCGCTTTTAATGCCTACATCCCTTGTTGAGCATCTAATAAATTGAATTTATGCTTGACTCCACTATATAGGCCAAAATGGCAACGAATGTTACAAATGTTCAGCCAATACACTGAAGAGTACAAGATCATTTCTTTTGAAGTGCCACGTAAAGACCAACCTTTGTGGTTTAGGCGTGTTGCCACGTCTTCTACAGAAAGAAAGAGATAGCAAGTCTCTTCTACCGTAAGGGGTGTTACCTACCTCACATCTACTAAGAGATATTTTAAAAATAAAATCCTTATATGATTAATTGATGTGACGTCTCTATAACATATATTTAAAGGTCAAGTCATAAATC